TAGGGATATAAACAACTATTTACTTAATAACGAGACCTAGGTAAACTAACCTATCTAGTAGTAAGGTTAGTCTCAAAGAAAATCGTTTTGACAAAAGTGAGTAAAATATAAATCTACTACTTACAAAAATTAAGGAAAGGTAGTGCGAAAATAATAAATTTGTTGAGGAAAATGGGAAAAGAACTGATAAATATACACAACGTTAAAGTTTTTTTTTTTCCTAAAGTAAATTGTGAAGTTTCCTCATTTATTTTTTTTATTTGTTGCCCACTTGTATATTTAAAAGAAATAGTTGAAGATGGTTTAAAATTATAAACAAGGGATATGAAAAATTATTTAACTATTTACATATAATGAAAATCAGAAATTTATAGTGGTTGTTAGGCCATCAATCATTCAACGTCATTAGTGCAATTCCGATTGACCGTGTAGGGTCCCCTTTATGGCACAACGTGGGTCATAAGATTTTTTTTTTTTGAGGGGGGTTATATGCGTTTTCAATTTTAAGAGAATATTTAAACCAGGAAAAAAAAGGCGCACTCAGGTATGCGTGCATGTAATAAAATATCTAAGTGCGCCAGATACCTGGAAGAACTGCAGGTATGATTTTATTTTAAATGCTCCGTATACTCAGTTTCTGCGTTAACTCAAAAATGTCAGCAGGCCTTACTTTCTATTTGTGTATATAATAAATTCAACTAATCCGTGTCTTTGGCAACAAGACACGGAAACAAATTTTAAATAAAGTAGCAACAAAAAAATCTTATGAAATATTATCATCAGTGACAGGTCGGTTCAACAATCTAAAAGAAACTAATTAGGAATCAAAGACTAATTTCTCCACCCTCAAATTTATTGCCCCCTCCCATATTTTAAAATAATGTACCCCCTTTTGACAATGCTCTCGCAATTATTTCAGATGAACTTCTTATTTAAAATGAAAAAATATTTTAAAACAAAATAATAATGAATTGGACATACGCAGAGCCTTGCCTCCTCTAAATATTACTGACGTTACTCATTGATTGTAATTGCCTAATGTATCGTGCCTTTAATATACTCGAGATACAAACCAATATTATATCTACTATATTTTAAACTAACATTGACATTATATCTCTTATGGATACATATTAATTATATAAGTGAGCAACAATATTTCTTTTTTTTTTGGGAGAGGCATGCGCTATCGGTCTTGTGGGGGGGAGGGGCATGGGCATCCCTGATAATAACTATAATGACCGGATTAACAATAAACGTTAATGTAGTTCTATGTCATACATTATATATCAAATAAAATAAAAAAGGAAAGATAAAAAATCGGTAGGGTGTGCAGTAAAAAAATTATCAATTATAAGAATGAAGAACTATTAGGAAAATGATGAAAAATTCATTGATGAAAATCAACCGATACGTGTCCAAAGAAGCATTTATAAAATAAGGTAAGATAAAATAATTTGATACTAAATTCATAAGTTCTGAATGAATCCTGTTTCATGCACTATTATTTTTAAAAAAATACAATATTATTTTGCTCGCGGAAAATCTAATAATATTGGCATTATCTGAAATTTATAATAAACAAAATCTACGTCTTCGAGAAACTAGTTTTTCAGTAGAATGAATCAAATTTCAAATTGATCAAGATAAAAAAAAACCTAAGTATAATATCTTATTTGGCATACATGTATATATCCTGAATATGGGTTGATAAATATTCAGGACGCAGTTATTATAAGGTTTTTATTAGTGCCGACGTTTCAATCCAAATATGTGGGTCATCATCAGTGCGTGTTTCGCCATACATATATATATATATATATATATATATATATATATATATATATATATATATATATACATATATATATGGACGTGTGTCGGTTAATTTTCATCAATGAATTTTTCATCATTTTCCTAATAGTTCTTCATTCTTATAATTGATAATTTTTTGACTGCACATCCTACCGATTTTTTATCTTTCCTTTTTTATTTTATTTGATATATAATGTATGACATAGAACTACATTAACGTTTATTGTTAATCCGGTCATTATAGTTATTATCAGGAATGCCCATGTCCCTCCCCCCCACAAGACCGATAGCGCATGCCCCACCCAAAAAAAAAAGAAATATTGTTGCTCACTTATATAATTAATATGTATCCATAAGAGATATAATATCAATGTTAGTTTAAAATATAGTAGATATAATATTGGTTTGTATCTCGAGTATATTAAAGGCACGATACATTAGGCAATTACAATCAATGAGTAACGTCAGTAATATTTAGAGGAGGCAAGGCTCTGCGTATGTCCAATTCATTATTATTTTGTTTTAAAATATTTTATCATTTTAAATGAGAGTTTCATCTGAAATAATTGCGAGAGCATTGCCAAAAGGGGGTACATTATATTAAAATATGGGAGGAGGCAATAAATTTGAGGGTGGAGAAATTAGTCTTTGATTCCTAATTAGTTTCTTTTAGAATGTTGGACCGACCTGTCACTGATGATAATATTTCATAAGATTTTTTTGTTGCTACTTTATTTTAAATTTGTTTCCGTGTCTTGTTGCCAAAGACACGGCATTAGTTGAATTTATTATATACACAAATAGAAGGTACGGCATGCCGACATTTTTGAGTTAACGCAGAAACTGAGTATACGGAGCACTTATAAGAAAATCATACCTGCCGTTCTTCCAGGTATACAGCTTAGATATTTTATAGCACCCTTAGATATTTTATTATATGCACGCATACCTGAGTGCGCCTTTTTCCCTAGTTTAAATATTCTCTTAAAATTGAAAACTCCCCAAAAAAAACCTTATGACCCAAGTTGTGCCATAAAACCTGTCTATGGGCACCCCTGGTAATTATCATGCTTATCTCCGCTCAACAGGTATCGAGAAACGTCGACAAATACTAATTGCAAGTCAACGGTGGCAACTTTTGTTTGTTAATTATTGATATAGACATCTCAATAAATGTTTTCGTAAAATTTTCAAAGGATGGATGGAATCGCAAAATTTGTAGTAGAGGAAGTGCACAGAATTGCCATGGAACTTCCAAAATTACCTACAATGTGAAATGGTCTCCGATGAGCAAACTAAATGTGTTTTTATTGCTCAATCGACCCGCATGTCTGTCCTTAAAAAAGTGGAAAATTATTTTTGTGGGCATTAACAAAGATTTTATAACAATTCAGTGAATCCTGAAATTATTAGTCAGCCAAATTCAGCCTCTATTATTCAATTTTTCAATACTTAATTAAATTCAAGAACATGCAATTCAACAACAAGAAAATCTGGCAGTAGTTTTAATCGAGAGAACATGTCCATTTGGTACCACTGTGTGCAGTCCGTTCTGGAGAAACTTTTCAATCAAAATCTAAATACAAAACTAAAGAACGTGAAGGACGCGCGGTACTCGTTCATAATCTCTAAGTATCCAAAATAATATTTTCTTATATTTAGTGAATCCCCGACACAATTCATGAAAAAAAGTTATACACAAAAGAAAATTTTTTGGGGGCCTAACTCACCACGTATACATTCTATCGGTTTTCAACGGATCTCAACGTTTCTGAGTCTATTTTGAAGCCTACTTTTGAAAAGGTCATTACATTTCTGTTAAAATTGTCAAAAATTTTTTAGCAAAGTTACATCGTATTGTTTTTTATAAGCTGATTTTAATGGTCGTTCACTTGCCCGTTTTTATTGCTTTGTTCATCGAATAAATCGTTTTTTCGAATATTTGTTTTTTCCTAATGGACACATTTAAAGTTGTATTTTTTTAAAAATAGATAGAAAAGTCATGTCTGACATCTCTGATTTTAGTGAAGTATCTAGTGGCAAAATTTATACCTTTATTCACAGTTCTATATTTCAACACTGCAATCACCTACTCTGGAATCAACTTACTCACTGTTTGTATAGATAAATGTTTCAACTAGAAATATCACTAAAATTACTTTACTAAAAAATGTTGAAATTTGAGTTTGTTAACAGAATGCAACTGAAAGGCTCAGAGACCGAAGTTATGTGGTTTATAAAAGCAGATGGAGTGACTAGAATTTTATAGACTTTTTGTAATTATAATGGTCTTACTGATTTGTTATCTGTAAGCTTTAAGCTTTAGCTCAGTTTAAAATGCACTTTTTATAATAGCCCAACATTCCCAGAAAATAATTTCTATTCAAAGTAGAGCGTTAAGTGAAAGTTGTGTGTTGCTCCAGATTTTTTTATTGACATGTCGTATATGTGGTATGAATTTGTCATTCATATCTTTAGTACTTATCAATAGAATATATTATTCCTTAATAAAAACAGATTTAATAATAAATTCAGTAACAGAAACTGAATACATATACATACTTATTTAAGCCCATATGGACATACTCATCACAAATATACGGCATCGCTAAAAAGACCCACCTACAAAAACTTCAAACGTTCCAGTCCAAATTATTGCGACTCATAACAAAAGCACCTTGGTACGTGACTAACAAAACTCTACATACTGAACTCCACTTTCCAACAGTTGACCAACATATAACGACCTTTATCAACGATTTACACAAATTTAAATGACATAATAACAGACTAATAAGAGACATGGCCACAGCTGACATACCTCAGAACATGAGGAGGAGACTAAAAAGGCGTTGGATGAGGGATCTCCTTCCTTAAACAACCTAAGTAATTGGAACAAGTTAGGGAAGAGGTCCTGCTGAGTACTTTTCTTCCCCATGCCTGTCATGTCATTATTTCATGTGTCGCCATCACATTTGCTGATTGTCAACAATAAGTTGACAGGCGCAAATACATATTTTGTAGACAAACAAATAAAATAAAATAATAATAAATTTATCAAGATCCGTATAACTTAATGTTTCTGTGTCTTTTTATTTTTTTAAACATAACAAGGCTTGAAAAAGGAATTAATGTTTATAGACACTGAACTTATTAGATTTTTCATCGACATTATTCAATGAAAGACATCAAAGGAGTTATTTGGTATCAAAACTTCGAAACGCGGACGGATTGACATGTAGCGGATCTCTTTCCAGAACGCCAGCTACGGCAAGAAGAACGGAGGTGCCTGGTACCCTCCTGACGCGACTCCTCGTCCTGGTTGGAGCAAGCCCCCCGTACCGTCGAGGAAGCCGGGTATGACGGACCCGGAGCACACCACCAAGCCCAGTTCTGGGAGGGTGATCAGGATCATCAACAACCACGATCATACTGTGCAGGTACTGGGGAGGCACACTAATATAGCTTGAAGAAAAGTTATAAGAGAAGTTGGTTGAGGATCGTAGTAGTTATAAGTAAACAAAAAATATTTATTTTCTTTGTGCCGGCCTAAGTTTTAGACGATCATCATGGTCAAGCAAAGACCATATAACAAAAAAAAAAAAATTAAATCGGCATGTATAAAAATAATTGGTCTAGTCTATTTAAGTAGTTAAACATAATATTAATAAATAATGGATGGAAAATATATGTATTTTTTCTGTTGGCGTTAAAGACCTTGTAGATCTTTTACCGCCTAATGTTTGATCTTCCAGGTAGTCTTTTGCCTATTATTGAGGCATTCGTTGCAGTCCAGAAGCTTCTAGATGGATTTCTCTGGGCAACATACCCCACCCATCTTAACCTCGTTTTCTTCATATCATGAGATATTGAAATATCTGTTTCTGTGAACTCGTTATTGTTCTTTCTTCTCCGTGTTAGTACTCTGATCCCAGATCGCTCCGGTTAACATGCGATTTTTATCTCAAAATTTACAATACTTTTTTCTATTGCGCTGGCTTTCAATATCTTTGAAAATCCGACCGTTGATGATTCATTGGGTTTATCTTATCTTGAAAATAACAATATTCTCACGGACTATGTAGACATATTGAGTAAATTTAAGATACACTTTTGCAATATTTTAAATATGAGAAATAATAATCTGTGTCCTCCTTCTGAGTATCAAATTGCAGAACCGTTAATAGAAGAACCAAGTAATGTAGGGAAGGTGTAGTTTATATAACACATTTTTGTTTAAAAAGATATGGGAGAATGAGAAATTGCCTGATAAATGGAAAGAATCGATTCTTATTCCGATTTACAAAAAAAAGGCCCGAGGATGGATTGTAATAACTACCGAGGAATTTCTTCACTCCTTCCGGTATGTTATAAAATATTCACATTAATCTTAACTAATCGAATCACGGAATACGCCGAGGAAATTATCGGCGGAACCGTTCGACAATCGATTAAATATTTTATTTACGACAAATATTAGAGAAAAAAATTGGCTTTTAATGAAATAGTTTTGCCACTATTCAGCCTATTTATGTCCGCCAAGAAAAAGGAAGATGTTTAACCACTTAAATTTACTAATCAAATTATTTTTACATTTTCTTACTCTTTATTACTGATCTTGTCTTAACCTGAAGGCCTAAAACTTAGCCTGAAACCATTTTTTTTTTTTTTTGTACATATAAGGACCGCAATTCTCAACCAACTTCTTTCATAATAATCTTCACTCAACCATCACGAATAAAGTGAAACTGCATCAAAGCTTTATTGGTATGTTTATATCATAGTATTTAGTTAAGAATGGATATATCTAACTCCGAAGTTAAAAGCGGCATAAAATATTGTGATAAATCGGAAAATTTTAAGGCATTTTCATTAAACTTTCAAAGATGAAGCTTTGATGTCTAGAAAACACTGACTATCCGGCATTACTGTAAAACAACCTTCCCCTTAGTGCCGAGTCTTACTCAACTTGCGGACGACCCAGCCGTTCGAAGATGTCGTTGAGGATCTGGGGCAAGTTCTCAAGATGAACGGCGCAAGGAGGATGTTCACAGTGTCTGGTCAAGAGGTAAGTCGATTCCTTATTCTCCACATATCGATAGTGAAATCGACTTCTGCTTCTTTATTCCATTATCGATTGTGAAATCGACTTCTGTTGTATGTAAAATATTAATAAAAATCGATTAATATTTGTTTCTGATTATAATTTTTTAAAATACCTTAGGTTTATTGCGAAAATTCATTATGTGACACATTTTAAATTAAATCAGTAAGTAAAAGTCCGTTATACAGACCCCATTTTATCAAATTATTAACATCCCCTCAAAATTTCATTAATAACGTCATCTCATCCTAACCTGCAAATACGTTTTTACGAAAATTCTCGGAATTGGGGCGTTTTCAGTCTGGAGATTAGTGTTGCTGAAATGTGAGACCAAAACGAGTATTGGTCTTGCACAGGCAGATTTACGGGGGGAGCTCTCGGGCTGAAGCCCCCCTCCCTCCACAAAATGGTAAAATATAACCATGTTTTCTAGAAAAAAATATTAAAAACTATCTCTTAAAGTATTATTGTTCGTGTGATTAAATTTAATAGGACATCAAGAATCACTTAAACACCATTTCATATAGGTAGTTCATTTCTTTCTCTTTTTTTAAAAAAAAATAATCATCGTTGTATACATGAAAATAAATCTTTCGGGCTGAAGCCCCCAAAATTAAATCCTGGATCCGCTAGTGTGGTCTTGGTCTTATGCAAGAGTCTCGCAACAGTGTTTATCAAAGTTTATCAGACGGATCCCGTTATCATTACTATATTCGTGCAAACTTTCTTTACCAATCGTCGGAATATAAACTTCTTCCCTTCCTACCTTTGCGTTCGCGTCATCTACAATTATTTTCATGTAGTTTCGCGGTAGTTTATCATATACCCATTCGAGTTTATCGTAAAATTCACTTTTGACTTCATCGTCACTGTCTTCGGTCGGACAACGTATGTTTATTAATGCGATTTTAAACCAACGTCCCTGAAATATAGCTACCGAAATTCTATCACTAAAGAATTGTACGTCCCTCAAAGCGGATAGAAATCTATTCCTAATTAGAAACCCGGTACCTAAACAATGATTCCCGCTTCCTCCGTACCAAATAGTGTACTTTCCTTCCCTCATCGAACCCTCCTCTGGCCAGCGAACCTCTTGCAGAGCCACGACATCCATTGTTACTTAATCACTTAAACACCATTTCATATAGATAGCTCATTTCTTTCTCTTTTTTAAAAAAAACTTAATTATCGTTGTATACATGAAAACAAATCTTTCGGGCTGAAGCCCCCAAAATTAAATCCTGGATCCGCTAGTGTGGTCTTGCGCACTGTCTTGGTCTTGGTCTTATGTAAGAGTCTCGCAACAATCTTGTAGATACCTATTAGCCTATTGCTATAGAGACATTACTGTAATTTTGCAGATGGGGGAAATCTAACTAAGCCCGAATGAAAAATTGGAAGAGTTAAATGCTAATGCTATTTTAAATAATAGGCAAATTAAATATTTTTTTCCAAAAAACTATCTTTGTGTAACCAGCTTTCAGTTATACCTAATTATTATTTTCTTGAAACTTCTAATTTCAGTTAATATTGTGTCAAAACTGGAGAATTACAATGAATTGCAATAAACCCCTTCAAATTATCTTTACCCTCCGTCATAAACCAATGACTTCCTATCCTACAGTATCCTTTAACAATACCTCACTTATACCTGTTCAACCAATTCGTTAGCTAGAACTACACCTGGGCAAACGTCTTACTTGGAATCCTTAAACCAGACTGAAACATCAAGAAACCGTTTTACATTTACGACTACTTCATGTATTTAATTTGTAATTAAAGTTTAGAACGTTAGTCTAGTAAGTATTGAAGTAGTCGGAAAGGTATAACGGTTTCTTGATGTTTCAGTCTGGTTTAAGGATTCCAAGTAAGACGTTTGTCCAGGTGTAGTTCTAGGTAATTACAATGAATTACAATGAATTGCAATAAACCCCTTCAAATTATCTTTACCCTCCGTCATAAACCAATGACTTCCTATCCTACAGTATCCTTTAACAATACCTCACTTATACCTGTTCAACCAATCCGTTACCTAGAACTACACCTGGGCAAACGTCTTACTTGGAATCCATAAACCAGACTGAAACATCAAGAAACCGTTTTACATTTACGACTCTTAATGTTCCTTATGTATCAGATTTGGCCCAATCCAGATATCTGTCCTTCCATAATAAACTTCATAACCATCCCAACCCTCTTGTCTCTAACCTTGCTTCCTATTCGATTCCTGATAACCCTCCGAGGCGTCTGAAAAGAAGATGGCCACGTGATCTTCTAATATAGACATATTATTAGAGTGCTACCAATGGGTAGTTTCTCAACATGTGTTCCATGTGCAGTACCAATGTGCAAATTTACTAGATGTATTTTTTTGTATACAGTTGTAAATATCATTTAAAATAAATAAAAAAAAAAATAAAAACATTTACGACTACTTCAATACTTACTAGACTAACGTTCTAAACTTTAATTACAAAGGACTCATATCTAGTGACTGAATTTCTTTTTCGTGAATTTATTTTATTCCAGAATTTCTTGAAGATTTTCGTATTATTTTTGGGATATCCCGTGAATTGCGAAGTTATTAATTCCTTCCTTAGACATTGCTTCATTGAGTTGACCTCACGTATTTTCTATTTCAGCTTCAAGGTCCTTCAATTATCCCTGTTGAACAAATCCGATACCTAGGTCTACATCTGGACAAACGACTCACTTGGAATCCTCAAACAAGACGAATGAACTGAGATGAGAAAATGAGAAACCTACTAGACAAACGCTCTAAACTTTCGACATATTACAAAAGACTTATATACCTGACTATAATAAGACCTATATGGAGTTACGGAATTGAGCTATGGGACTCCACCAAACCATCAAATTCCTCTCTTATCCAATTATTTAGAATCCAAAATCCTTCGTAAAATCATCTCCCGATCCGCTGGTGTTCCTCAAGGTAGTATCCTAGGTCCTATCCTCTGTACAGTTTATACAGCTGACATCCCTACCTATTCCAACATTGTCATCACCACATATGACGATGGCACATGTATCCTATCAGTAAACAATGACCCCGCAATTGCATCCAAAATGCTTTAATCACACATCATAAATCTAGAAGAATGGTGTCAAAACTGGAGAATTACAATGAATAGCAATAAACCCCTTCAAATTATCTTTAGCCTCCGTCATAAACCAATAACTTCCTATCCTACAGTATCCTTTAACAATACATCACTTATACCTGTTCAACCAATCCGTTACCTAGAACTACACCTGGGCAAACGTCTTACTTGGAATCCTTAAACCAGAATGAAACATCAAGAAACCGTTATACATTTCCGACTACTTCAATACTTACTAGACTAACGTTCTAACTTTGCAATTAATTACAAAAGACTCATATACATGACAATAATAAAACTTATTTGGACTTACGGAGTTGAACTAAACACCAAACCATCAAATTCCTCTCGTATCCAATTTTCATGATACAAAATCCTTAGTAAAATTACTTTGTATCAGATTTGGCCCAATCTAGATACTTATCCTTTCATAATAAACTTCATAACCAAAGCAACCCTCTTGTTTGTAACCTTGCTTCCTCTTCGATTCCTGATAACTCTCCGAGGCGTCTGAAAAGAAGATGGCCCCATGATTTTCTAATCGACATATTATTAGAGTGCTACCAGTGGGTAGTTTCTCAACAATTGTTTTTTTTATATGGTTGTAAATCTCATAGTAAATAATAAAAGAAGTTTATACTATCTATGGAGTTTTATAGTTGCTCAAAATGAATTCTTTACACATAAAAGAACAAGGTTTATTTCACTATCGATATTCTTTACTCTAATACGATTATATGCTATGTACTAATAGTATTAGAATGGCTTTATTAGTTCACTAACCAATCTAAGGGGTCTCGCATTCTGCACTAGTTGCTTCATATTACTGCACTTATTAAGCTCTTATACTCCGCCATCTTGTGCTGGAACAGAAGTTTACCGAGCTGTTGCAGGTTCGGAGCTTCTCTCAGCTGAGAAACGAATTCTCGGACGTGGACACGTTCTACCTCGGAACTACTGGAGTCCTCATGTCTCCTGACCGAAGAAGGTCCAGATCAAGAGGACCCGTCCTGGTGGAGCCGGTGGGTACTCCAGCTGTTCGCCGAAGAGCCAGGAGCAAGAGTCGTCCGAGGGCCCTTTACATCGAACCGGAAGTCATCCGTCCTGCCAATGGCCCTTACCAGCAAGTCACTGCGTACCAGGGTAAGACCACTTAGCAACTTGTTCATATTTCCTTTATTGTAAAATTTGTGTTTAATTAATGTATTTTGTAGTATAAGATATACAATTATAGGAAGTGTGACTCCATAATGAACATTAAACTTCATAAGTAAAATTTAATAATCAATAATTACACAAATATCTTTTATCTTAATATAAAAGGTGTCACATAAGCACAGGGAAGTTTCTACAGAAGTAATAGCAGACTTGTGTTGTCCAAAAGCGAGACCAAGACAAGTCTAAGTCTTGCGGACTCAGTCTTGGTCTTGCGCAATAGTCTTGCAGTTGCCTATTAGCTTATTACTATGGAGATATTACTGTAATTTGTTAGAGAGGAGAAACCTAACTATGCCCGAATGAAAAAATAGAAGAGTTAAATGCAAAAGTATATTGGTTATACCACTTCTTTACATATAGTAACTAAAATTATCAAGTATTATTAACTTTTTAGCCTTTTTTTTATTCAAAATTCGATCGGTTTTGGGCAACACTATAGCAGACCTACAAAAAAGAGCTACACAAAATAAAACATAAATAAATATTTAAGCAATGGTTCTGTTTTCAGCAAAAAAGTAAAAAATCCAAGTTTTATGTTTTTTTATATAAGTCGTGTTTTTTGTTGAATTGGAATGGATAACTAAAGAAATATTTAATTTAAGTAATTAACATTGCTTCACTGTAAATTAGACAAAATTTATTTTTAAGGAAAATAAAATTTTTCATTGATAAAACCATTTAAAGAGGACTTTTTATCCGCTAAATTAAGATCAGTTATGTTTTTAAAAAAATCATAAATGTTTCGTAATTTTTTTCTTATCATAAAGAAAAATATCTTTACTATAGTATACAACTATACTAAAGATTACTATAGTATACAACTATACTAAAGATTACTATAGTATACAACTATACTAAAGATGGCATAGATTTATGATAACTTCTTCAGTTAATATGGTTAATTTCTGTATTATATATCTTGTCCTTTCCGTGTTTAGTTCTTTACGGGCTTTCATTAACGTTGTCGCATTTAGTTTTATAGTTTCCTTGTCTTCGCTTAACCGGACCGAATCATTATAGGCAAGCACTGGAGTTGTCCCATCCAGATACAAACCTTTTTCGATACGCATTACCTCCCTAATTTCATGTTCTAATGCCAAATTAAAAAGGACAGGTGAAAGGGAATCACCTTGTTTTAAGCGCAAACTAACCTCAAACTTTTCGGATACATAATTACCGATTCTAACTATATTAAGTGTTTCCGTCAAGCACATCCTAACTAGATTTGATATTTTTTTATGGAAACCCCTGCTCAATTAAAATATTATAAGCTTCTGGTGGTCAATAGAATTCTAAGCCTTTTTGAAATTCTAAGCCTGGTGAACAACACCATTGTAATAATTTGATCAATAGTTGAACGGTTCTGTCTAAATCCGCATTGATAGTCTCCCATAATTTCCTCGGCGTATTCCGTTCTTCGATTAGTAGGAACTAATTTAAATATTTTATAACATACCGGAAGGAATGAGATTCCTCTATTATTATTACAATTCGTCCTCGAGTTCTTTTTATGAATCAGAATAACAATAGATTCTTTCAGGCAATTTTTCATTCTTCCAGATCTTTTTAACTAATAAATGTATTTTAGAAACTCCAGATTCCCCGCATGTCCTTATTAGTTCACTAGGAATATTATCGGTTCCCGCTGTTTCATAAGATTTTAGATTTTCAATAGCTACTTCAACTTCCTCTTTACTTCTATTAATGGTTCAGGATTCTGGTACTCAGAAGGAGGATACTTATCATTCTTTCCTATATTTAAAATATTGTCAACGTGGTTCTTATTTAAACTTATTTAATATGTCTACCGGATCGGTCAGAATATTACTAAACAAAAACTTCAATTTTGTTTGTCTTTTTTTTTAAATCATTGAAGTTAATTCATAACAAGCCATTTTTGCAGCTACTCACATATTTTGTCTTATCCGTGTTTATTCAAAGCCCTAGTTCTTTACTTTTAGTTCTTATTTTCAAAATCCATTCGAAATGAAAAAAATGTCAATCTCAGAGTTTAAACATCTTTTGATGATTACCTGAGTAAAATAATCATTCGGTAAACTAACTAATCATCCTTTGTCATACAGCTCCTCCTGCTTGAATAATAGATCTTACAGATATCTTGTACGTACGAGTATTTACTACTTCAGACAGGGACATCTGCGTATTTAGCGTTTACATGCGCAATATTACCCTACTTTTCTTTACTAATCAATCATATTTTTACCTTGGAATTTTTAATAATATAATGCAAGCCTATTTTATATTATTTACTTATTTCTTCTTCTTATACGTTCTTCCCTCTATATGGCTATGTCATGCTCCTGCTTAGTTCCTCCAAACTTCCGAAAAGCTTGGTCCCAAGATCCAGTTGGTCAGCGAGAATCCACAAGAGAAACACCTCCAGTTATTTATTTCAATTGTTATTTTTAATGGTTAATGTAGTTAATTGTTATTTTATAATTATATCTGTTGCAGACTACACCTTACTGGAGGTGCTCAAAGAGGAACCGATAAGATTGACCATCAAAGGAGCTCGAAGAACGGTGTATCCTCCGTTACACCACGCACCTCAGGACAACTCTCCTCCAGAGAAGAGGCTCGTTCTGGACTGGGTGTATCCTTAAAATATTATATTCTGTAAAAGAAAAATTAATAGGATAGTTTCAATTCTATCGTTTGAGTCGGCAGAAAAAAAAAGTCTGCCAAGTAAGGTCAGTATAACTTCATCTATCTATCTAACCGAATTCATCGACAATTTCCATCAGTTAGGATAATGGTAATAGAAGAATATGAAGTTAACAACATACAGCAAACGAAGGCCTATACATACTTAAAACTTATTGATGCTGACAAAAAAAAATTGAACTAGATTTATTTTCCTGAAGGGGAAGTGAAAGCCATTCTCTTAGGTCTTGAGAGATTAATTGAACTGAAAGACAAGAAAGTTGCTTTCTTTGTTGACTCACAGGCAGCCATTTTGTCTCTCCAGAATGGATATAATGAAAATCCAAATGTTTCTAAATGCCATCTATATTTGAACCGATTAAAGGAAAAGGGGGCAGAAGTCGCTTTCCAGTGGATACCAGGCCATTGCGGGCTCCACGGAAATGATGAAGCTGACAAACTGGCCAGAATAGGTTCTAGAATGATCCAACCAGGTATTCCTCTGGCCATGAATTGAACAAAAAGAATCATAAAACAGACCCTCCAAAGTTCACTATCAGACTATGCTTAAGCTCTTGATCAAATATTTTCATAAAACCATGTAATCAGATGCATTAAGTTATGTTTTATTTTGCATTTCTGATAACAAATCAATACAATTTATTTGAGCTTATTTGATTTAGCTGAAATAATTAATAATAATATAACGTAAGGCTGTTTTTACTTCACCACATTTATTTAATTTTCCATTGGCTGGGTTTCGGCAATTTTCAAGCCATTCTATTTAATCATGCCTCTTACATATAGTCCATAATGAGATTAAAGTCATGTGTAAGTGTTAAGGAAGGTTGCAGTAAAAATACCTAGAGGGCATTGGCCATGGCATGCTCTAGAATGCTCACGGGCTATGATTTCCTTCAGAAGCACCTCCACCGCGTCGGTGTAAAAGACAGGAGAACATCTTGATACATGTCCTGCATTACAGGACATAAAATGTTCCTTTAATGAAAAGGACAGCCTTATGCTGGGAGAGAAAAATTGTATTGGACTGCAAGAGCACGCATGGCTGATGAAGCAGGCGTAGGAAAAATAAAAATAATAAAATAAAAAATAATTTTTTATTTCTTGTTTTTGATATATCTGCTCTGATGGTATCAAGGGATATAAAATAAATAGTTTGGTTTAACAATAATGTCGCTGTTAGATAAGTTAGGTAATTGTGTTTCATAGAATTTGTGAAATGTCTGAACAAACCTTAATTATATCTATGTGAAATATTGTAAGCAAAGTACCAAAATATAAAGTAATTGTACCAATAATAGACACTTTGAGATCATTTTTCAACATTAGGAGAGAAAAATTGTATTGGACTGCAAGAGCACGCATGGCAAATTTATACTTTTATTCTCAGTTCTATATTACAACACTGTAATCACCACCTCTGGAATCAACTTACTCATTGTCTGCATAGATAACTTTTTCAACTAAAAATATCACTAAAATGACATCACTCAAAAATGTTGAAATTGGAGTTAGTCATTCTGTGGTTTATAAAAGCAAAGAAAGTTGTGTGATTTATAAAAGCAGATAGAGTGAATACATTTTTATTGCATGTCGTCGATGTATTAGACGTTCAGTGAAGGAGATCTAGTACTGCGACGGACTCATCCTCTCTCATCTGCTGAACAAGGATTCGCTAGCAAACTAGCTCCGAAATTTGAAGGACCATTTCGTATTTCACACAAAAGGTCAACTAACGCATCAACTAACGTGAAACCCGAAGGCACACCAGCTGGACTTGGACATTTTGTAATTATAATGGTCTTAATGGCTTGTTATTTGTAAGCTTTAAGCTTTAGTTCCGTTTAAAATGCACTTCAAAAAATGTTATAATAGCCCAGCATTGCCAGAAAATAATTTCTATTCAAAGTAGATCGGTAAGTGAAAGTTGTGTGTTGCGCGCACCAGATTTTTACTTCTGAGACTATGTCCCAGCGCCTTATGAATTTCCTCAAAACATTCAAGTCGTGCGGCAGTGTATATATCCTGCCCCGTACGGGGGTCGCTTCTAGGACTGAATATATAGTGTAATTCATTTTCTCTCTAATCTATAGGAAAGTCCTGTGAGTGTACACACCTTTTATTTTTCTTAGTAATCACCAATGAAAAAATATAAATATTAAATACGAACTATAAAACTTTTACCATGAGAAATGTTCCCTCTTTATCTTGGTGATAACATCATCTACTTCCTAAACTAATACAAGTAGTGAGCTAAAACATAGCTTTTAAACACAATTCTGGATGACTCTCTTGTTACGCTACGTGACCATAACCTAATGGAACCCTCTAATATGGGAACGTGAGGAATTGGGTTTCTTCGGCAGTTATCGGCAGGCGAAGCACGTCTTAGGAGAGAGAATGACATTACAATTATTTTTTTTCGCTGAGGACAGGAATTTTTGTCATGGTGGCGTCTTGCTTCTTTTTTTTTTTTTTTATAGCTTCTGGTATTCTAATGTTTTTCAAAATAAGATTTTCAAATCTGCATTTATTTAATTAAACGGCTAATTTATTAACTCAATCATCTAATTTATAATTAAATCATTTTGCGATACTAACACACAATTTATTAATTATAGAATTTAAAAATAATAATAAAAAAAATTAATATCTCAATCATCTAATGAATATCTCTCCCTATATTTGAGTTATGTATTTTGAGTTCTATCTAACTTTAGCTAAAATATGCCTTGCACACATTTATTAAGTTATCAATGAAATTAAAATACTAAATGCAAGTCATTGGGTAGATTTATATCGTTTAAGTATCATTGAATAAAAAATTAAAAAAAAAACAAAAAAATTGTAAACTGTTGTAGGATACTAAGACTTAACAAGGCAAAATACTTCTATCAAGAGTGAGATATAAGTTATAATGCACTGCTTAAAATGAAATAGATAAAAAAAACACGGGATATAAAAAGCAGCAAAAGGAATCACTTACAGCAGACTTAAATTGCATAAAGGACAAATTAAGATATAATTGTTCTTTTTCCGGAAATTTCTCTCTGAGTTTAATACCTTCATAACTTCAATTCCATTTCTCATAACCCCTAAAATTATTTTTATGAAATCGATTTATGCGATATTAAATAAAAATATATTAAATAAGGGCAGGTTGATATACAAGATAAAACAACATTGATTACAAGAAAAATACATCAAGGAAGCTATAGTGAACGGATAATGCTCTCCATTACATCAAATGGCTCAATTTCCGGTTGATAAAACGTTATTCTCCACTAACATTTGAAATGGACTCTTTACGATTATAAGCTTTACAAATAAGCCTTATATAGCCCAATTAAGTAACAAGGACTCCACATTGGCGGAAAAGTCAAAGCTATCATTTTTACGATATAGGCCTTTGGAATAAAAGATTATTTGGATTTATAGCAGAAAAAAAAACACTCGTTACATATATTACTTTTGAATATTCCAAATAAATATATCATATCTCTTTTAAATTTTATTATCAGACTATGCTTAAGCTCTTGATCAAATATTTTCATAAAACCATGTACTCAGATGCATTAAGTCATGTTTTATTTTGCATTTCTGATAACAAATCAATACAATTTATTTGAGCTTATTTGATTTAGGTGAAATAATTAATAATAATATAACATAAGGCTGTTTTTACTTCACCACATTTATTTAATTTTCCATTGGCTGGGTTTCGGCCATTTCCAAGCCATTCTCTTTAATCATGCCTCTTACATATATTCCATAATGAGATTAAGTCTTATTATCTGTTAAGTCTTAGTATCCTACAACAGTTTACAATTTTTTTGTTTTTTTTTATTTTTTATTCAATGATACTTAAACGATATAAATCTACCCAATGACTTGCATTTAGTATTTTAATTTCATTGATAACTTAATAAATGTGTGCAAGGCATATTTTGGCTAAAGTTAGATAGAACTCAAAATACATTACTCAAATATAGGGAGAGATATTCATTAGATGATTGAGATATTAATTTTTTTTATTGTTATTTTTAAATTCTTATATTTAATAAATTGTGTGTTAGTATCGCAAAATGATTTAATTATAAATTAGATGATTGAGTTAATAAATTAGCCGTTTAATTAAATAAATGCAGATTTGAAAATCTTATTTTAAAAAACATTAGAATACCAGAAGCTATAAAAAAAAAAAAAAGAAGCAAGACGCCACCATGACAAAAATTCCTGTCCTCAGCTAAAAAAATAATTGTAATGTCATTCATTCTCTCCTAAGACGTGCTTCGCCTGCCGATAACTGCCGAAGAAACCCAATTCCTCACGTTCCCCTATTAGAGGGTTCCATTAGGTTATGGTCACGTAGCGTAACAAGAGAGTCATCCAGAATTATGTTTAAAAGCTATGTTTTAGCTCACTACTTGCATTAGTTTAGGAAGTAGGTGATGTTATCACCAAGATAAAGAGGGAACATTTCTCATGGTAAATGTTTTATAGTTCGTTTTTAATATTTATATTTTTTCATTGGTGATTACTAAGAATAATAAAAGGTGTGTACACTCACAGGACTTTCCTATAGATTAGAGAGAAAATGTATTACACTATATATTCAGTCCTAGAAGCGACCCACGTACGGGGCAGAATATATACACTGCCGCACGACTTGAATGTTTTGAGGAAATTCATAAGGCGCTGGGACATAGTCTCAGAAGTAAAAATCTGGTGCGCGCAACACACAACTTTCACTTACCGATCTACTTTGAATAGAAATTATTTTCTGGCAATGCTGGGCTATTATAACATTTATTGAAGTGCATTTTAAACGGAGCTAAAGCTTAAAGCTTACAAATAACAAGCCATTAAGACCATTATAATTACAAAATGTCCAAGTCCAGCTGGTGTGCCTTCGGGTTTCACGTTAGTTGATGCGTTAGTTGACCTTTTGTGTGAAATACGAAATGGTCCTTCAAATTTCGGAGCTAGTTTGCTAGCGAATCCTCGTTCAGCAGATGAGAGAGGATGAGTCCGTCGCAGTACTAGATCTCTTTCACTGAACGTCTAATACATCGACGACATACAATAAAAATGTATTCACTCTATCTGCTTTTATAAACCACACAACTTTCTTTGCTTTTATAAACCACAGAATGACTAACTCCAATTTCAAAATTTTTGAGTGATGTCATTTTAGTGATATTTTTAGTTTAAAAAGTTATCTATGCAGACAATGAGTAAGTTGATTCCGGAGGTGGTGATTGCAGTGTTGAAATATAGAACTGAGGATAAAAGTATAAATTTGCCATGCGTGCTCTTGCAGTCCAATACAATTTTGCTCTCCTAATGTAGAAAAATGATCTCCAAGTGTCTATTATTGGTACAATTACCTTATATTTTGGTACTTTGCTTACAATATTTCACATAGATATAATTAAGGTTTGTTCAGACATTTCACAAATTCTATGAAACAATATTACCTAACTTATCTAACAGCGACATTATTGTTAAACCAAACTATTTGTTTTATGTCTCTTGATACCATCAGAGCAGATATATCAAAAACAAGAAACAAAAAATTATTTTTTATTTTATTTTTTTTCCTACGCCTGCTTCATCAGCCATGCGTGCTCTTGCAGTCCAATACAATTTTTCTCTCCCAGCATAAGGCTGTCCTTTTCATTAAAGGAACATCTTATGTCCTGTAATGCAGACTAGAATTTATTTTCCTGAAAATTGTTCAAAGAAAAGATTTGAGTAAGATTTAATTGATAAACTAAAGCAACATAAACCGGCTTAAGGTAGATCAGTGCAAATATTTCAATACTCTCTAATATTGCTGATCAAAAACTTTTTGCCATAGCTTAGTATTGTCAAACAATAATTTCTGTTAAAAGTAGAGGAAATAGTGAAGCTTGTGTGATCTTTATTCTGTCTCATTCACCCCTTTCTAACAACAGGAAATGAACCCGTAATCTTACATTGGAAATTGAATAGCTCAAACTTCGTTATTAGTTGTCCAAAATGAACGATTTTTATATAGTTTTGTAAGGAATTTCATTACCTTTCAAAAAACAGGCTACACAGGCGTTATCATTTATTGCGCGCAAGCTATTGAAAAGAAGCAACAAAATCGGTTCAGTAGTTCCCGAGAAAATCTTGTCACAGACTATTATTAGACATGGCTAAAAATGAGTTTTTCGGACTCAGGGAGCTCTGAAACGTATAGATCCGTCGAAAACTGCAAGTCGGAAATTTTACCCGATTACAATACTTTTCTTACTAGTATAGGTAGGAAAGTAACAACACATTAGGTTTTCAGGTGCGAAAGTGATAAATACAATGTATATTGCCTAAGACTTGCTATATTTCCTTTACTTACTTTACGATAGATATGGATATCGAGGAACTGACTCCCGAAGGAACTTGTGGGTCCTGCCGACAGGAGAGCTGCTCTACTACGTCGCTGCTATCGCTGTCCTCTACGATCGAGACGAAGAGGCCCAGCGTCACTACGTCGGCCACACGGAGGACATACAATGGTCAGTATTTTATTAATTTCACTTACCTATACCAGTCCTGTCGTAAATATTGTTACAAGGAAATATATACAGATTATATAAATATATAATCTCCGTGGCCAATCTTCGATTGCATCACGCAGCACTTCTTGAGGAAAACGCTCAACTCGGACAAGAGATTGTTTGAGGCTTTGCAAGTCAGGGTTTGCTCTGTGGCATCCCATCTTCTCAGTTCGGACCAAAGCCGACAATCTAGTGGGTTGAGATCAGGGCTTCCCTCAGGCGCAATCCAAGGCAGAAATGATCGCTGGAATGTTCTTTTGCAGCCACTGCTGAGTTGACCTGGTCTTGCGAGGTGGATCAGAATCCTGCTGGAAAACCCAATGACTTCCAGCAAACAGAGTATCATTTAGAGACTTGACAACAAGTTCTAAAATACCGTCCTGATAGCTTTTAGCGGCTATTTTAACTCCTTTTTCACAAATGGAGCTTTTTGATGCCGTCAAAGCAAACTCCCCACCAAACTGAGGAAGGATGTTGACATCTTCCTACTCTTCCAATGACTTCCAGGGCTTCTTTAGAGTACTTACACACGATCATTTTGGTGATTAAATTTTTCTTCAATTGTAATATTTTTCTCATCGCTAAACAAAATGTTTCGATGACGACTATTGGTGTAACGACCAACGAGCACTTTGTATCTATCCACTCTAATTTTTTTTTTTGGGAAGTGGTTAGCCTTTCTCCTGTCGTTTTCCGAAATGCAGCCATGCTAAGGTCACTTTTTAATATGCGAGACATTGATCTAACAGAGATTCCCATTTCCCGAGATATGATTTATTGTTTTCGAATGGGATTTCTTCTGTTCGAGCAGCCACTGCTCTTACTGCATTGCCGTTCTCACAGTGCGGGGACGGCCCGGTCGAATTCTGCCACATACAGATAGGGTCTCATTATATATCAAAGGTTTCAAAGTGTTGAAAATCTTTGACTTAGATTTTCCAACTTTGTGCAAGGCGATCAGAGCTATTCGGTTTTCTTCATCTCCCCAATCCATATTAACTGAGCGAAAGAAAAATCCAAAATAATTCGGATTATTATCCTGACATGTAAAGAAAATAAGGATTATCTAAATAATACTCAAGGATGTAAACGAAATTGCCGTTCTCACAGTGCGGGGACGGCCCGGTCGAATTCTGCCACATACAGATAGGGTCTCATTATATCTATTTATAGTGCGGTACACGAACATACAGCTGGTATCCAAAGGTTTCAAAGTGTTGAAAATCTCTTACCTACATTTTCAATTTCGTGAAAGGCGATTATAGCTGTTCGGTTTTCTTTATCACCCCACTCCATGTTAACTGAGCGAAAGAAAAATACAAAATAATTGGTATTATTATCCTGGCGTGTAAAAAAAAAACTGACAGAGGTAAGGATGATCTAATTAAGTTCAACTTTTGTAACAGTATTTATGGCAGAACTAGGTATATGTAATATATAGTAAGAGAAAGTACTACAATCGTGGAGATTTAGTATGACAGGTTTTATATAAATTAATTATGTGTTATATTCATGATTGAGTTGAAACGTCGGCAAAATCAATAAAGAAATGTTTGACTGCACATCTTGACCAATCTTCATCCTTATTTCTTATTTTACTTTCTTTATTTACTATTTCTTTAAATTATTTATATTATTTCCCCTTTTTTATGTATGTGTTGTTTGAATGAACACTTGTAAATACTTGTTCCCCATCAATTTGGCAGATTGTATTATTATTCAATAAACTTAAAATAAAGATATGAGAAGCTACTCTCTACTATGATAATTACAATCCTGATAATTACTTGCAGTATGGATGTCCATCCTTCGAGAGAGCTGGTGGCCAGCGGGCAAAGAGCTGGAAGGAACAGGAAGACCCAGGCACATATCAGGATCTGGAGTATGGAAACCCTCCTCACCCTCTATGTCTTCGGCATGGGCGAGTTCGAGATCGGCGTGTCCGCAGTGGCCTTCTCCCAGTTGGTTAGTAATCTCTTTACATATTTACATAATTTATTATTTCCTTCATTTTAGCTTGTGCACACATTAGAGACTTTTTAGTCGGATGGCTATTTAGTCTGAAGTGGTACCGTACAAACCTGGCTGACTAAACTGTTCAATTGGCAAGATATCGCGTGATACCAAAAAACAGAATCAACAAATTCGCTGCAGATTTAGAAGCTGATGGATTGACGGACAGAGATGGAGAAGATTTTTTCAAGTAGCCAAAAATGTACAAGAAAACAGAGAAACAAAAATACATACAGTAAACAAATAAATAATAATTAATAAATTAGTGAAATGTTAATTATTATGTGATATGTTGGAGAACTTCGTCTACTAAAAATAATTCATACGAAAATCGACCTGATCACAGGCGAAGGTTTGATTGTAAATTACGAAAGTTTATGTTATTCTAAGTAGAAAGAACCTTGTTCCAGAACCGCTGCTTTAAAAAATGGTGGCTGATTTAGAGAATATTCGGCCAATAATTCGAGAATCAAATATTGCTTCCACTGAGTGCTGACATTTTTATTGAAGGCTAATTATATATCTCGAATCGGAATTCGTTATTCCTTTATAAAATTCGGTATCTTTCGACACACCGTTTATCAAAATCCTTTGCTGCTGAAAGATGGAAAAGTGGCTTAAACTGCATGTAAAAGACTTTAAACAAAAATAACTCGGTAGAATAGACACCCATGCTGTTGAAATATTGAAAATCACTTTTAACTTCAGTACCAATTTCTGACCATCGGGAGATTATCGATTTTGTTCGGAGTAAGTGACCTACATTAATTATGTTGGTGCTCAGTGGACACAAAGTTTGATGCTCTACAACTTTTATTCTATGGGATTTTCCACTCAGGAAACTCATTTCCAATTTGCAGGGGCATTTATAGTTATTTGTCTCAGTTTTCGACAAATCTGGTAAAAATCAGTGTTCATTGACCGCGGTTTTATACCTTACCACATTACCAAATTATGAAGTTTATGTACTCGTTCGACACAAAAGTTAACGGTCTTTAATCTATTAAATAATAAATTGTTCGCTTTGATGTATCGTTTAGGAGTTATAGGTGAAAAAATAAAAAAAATCTGACTTATTTGGCTGTAAAAAGTTTTCCCTTGGTGGCCCGCGTTAGAAATTTTATTTTTTACATGTCTAAACCCATATATACAAGCTAAGAAGATAAAAACTATTCTCATATTTTTCGCAGTGGATTTCCCGTTTCAATCCTCAAATTACTGGCCTAATATTCTCTAAATCTAAATCAGTTTTTGAGCAATTCCTTCTTATTCAATAAAAACTGTAACCACCATAAAATAAAACAAAAAATTTGTCTTAACTCCTTTTCCATTCCGGATCGGCCCATGTATCAAATGAATCCGAACATTTTTGTTGTAAATTTTGTCTAGAATCACCCTCCAGAGTTTTGCCATTAAGAACTGCCTCAGTTCTTAACCCCGTGATCCAGACATCGCGTATAGTCCAGGTCATCAGACTATCGCCTGTTTCATTCGTACAAAAACATTCACCGATTTGAATGAGAATAAAAATGGGTTTCTAGAGAATCAAACTATGGTTTATATTTTGATTATTAAAAATCACGTAAGTAGTAGAAAAATAAATCTTGATTTTCACCCATAAAACTGTTATTTATTCTGACTCATCCCATTATTTGAAGTGTACACAACACTTCCTTACTCTTTATGTTTGATCATTTATTAATTCAGTAATATTTTTTATCTTTTTTTCTGCTTTTTCAGTTGGAGTATATGTCTTGAATAAATATCTTTATCAACGCTCATAAGAAATTTACAATATTTATCATAATGTATGATTTATCATGTCTTTTTTTCGCTACAATTCTTCGTTCGTTGTCTAATGGATCGATTTCTGTTCTTGATCAATCGCAATCGACTGAAAAAAAGGAACCTGCTTCAGTGAGTTAATGAAAAAGAAAAGTTTATTACTGTGGCTTCGAAATCAAAGTTGCTTTTTTATTTTATTTTTTTAAATTTACCAAGAATGAAATACAATATTTTATTTTTTACAATATTATGTATTTAAAATTTACTATTTTTTTCTTATTTAAGACTATACAAATCGACGACATAAAACAATTTCGAATTTTAATTTTGGTTTGTTGTGTTGCCTTGCCTCTGTTATATGTTGTACCTTTGGCTTATAGGGTAAGCGTACCAGTGACGGACATAACAAAAAGGATGTTTGTCTTTTTTGGCTTATTCCGCCGTAATTATTAGAATTATAAACTTCTCCGTTGCACATTTAGAATCTCTAGGTTCTCCTTTTTCTATTTAACACTTTAAAATTGAAAACATATCTAGTTATGTAGGTAAATCTCCATTTAAAAAAATCACCTTTTTGTACTAGTAATGGGCACCCCGAACTTCAATTGTTCTAGTAATGAACAGGGAGACGGTACCAGTAGTGTTGTCGACGAGTCTTGGTCTTGCGCAAGAGTCTCGCAACAGTCTTGCAGTTACCTATTAACTTATTACTATAGAGATATTATTGTAATTTTTTGGATAGAAGAAAATTAATTAAGCCCGAATGGAAAATTAAAAGAATTAAATACAAAACTATATTTTTATACCAATTCTTTGAATATAGTAACTAAAATTGCCAAGTATTGGTAAGTATTTTGCCCTAATTTTTATTCAAAAAATTTACTTTTTTTTACTAGTCCGGTGGACCAAGACCGGTTTTGGGCAACACTAGATACCAGTAATATACATACCTCAGAAAAATTCTAAACTTTTATTTAACTATAAAGATAAGATAGCATAAATGTTCAACTTATTTTTTTGCAAAACTGTTAGTAAAAAGGTATAAAACAAACTGATCTTAAGAGCACTATAGAAACAACAATGATACGCATTTGAAAATTTTATTTTGGGAACTTTGTTCATATAGTTTTCAATAGAGGGCATTGTTGTTCAATCTATAAAAAACTGAAACCCTTAAATCAATAAGGAAGCTTATTATTTACATTTGAAGTCCAAGCTGTCTATCACTGGCCCCCTGTCCATAACTGGTGCGTTCACCCTTTATTTTTATGTACTTTAATTGAAAAATTGAATGGAATATCGATGTTTTTGATATATCTCGGAACGCAGTGGATAATTTCGTTTGATAACTTCAAATTCATATTCAGCATCCCAAAAAAAACATAAATAAACCGAAGAGAATCTATAAATCTATCTGAATTTTTTCCACTTACAACTACCAAATAAATAATATATTCGTATCAAATTTCAGCTATTTGTTCTTCCGTTTTAATGAGACGTAAAATATTGCCACCTTAATTAAATTTTTCATACAGAAATCAACGGCTTTCGACCGACTGACCGAAATTATGTGTTCAGATGAGGTTTATCTAGAATTTAAAATGGTTAATCGCTTTAAATCATTTAAATGAAATGGTAGCTCCTGGTCTTCTAGATTTGTTATTTGGACGAGTCGGCCTTAATCCTTTTCCTTATCTATACATTGAATAAGATAAATAAACAAGAAAATTAATTAAAAGAATGAATTGTCAAAAACTGGAGTTGATTGTAACAAAGCATTTGATTTTCTACTCTAAAAAAATAAATTCTCCTAACAACTTTTATTCTTTTATATCTATCCTCATTTCAACACATTATTGTCTATGTACACAAAACAATAACTGTCTTTCACAATGCTTTAATCGTTACCACTAATTTACAGAATGTATATACCGCACTAAACGTGTTCACAGTTCACTTCATCACATTCTTTCGCCTTGATAATCTCTCTTCAAGGTTGGAAGGCCATTTTGGTGTGTTTAGAGATCTTGGTTGCATGACTATGCAAATCTCCGTCGCATGTTATAATGTTTGCAGGTTATAAAGACTTGACACTAACAACAGTTTCTTTAACTAGATCTCTCTAGCCGTGAATAACTACCTCAGTAAATAAAAGTTTCTCAAAACACTTTTTATTGATCTTTGGGAGATATGCAAAACCCTCGACAGATTGCCGTAATTGAATAACAAAACTCCATTTCTTTGACATGTAAATTATATGGATATCATTCCATTTCCATTTAAATGAAATCAGTTTTCCAGATTATTGATTGTTATATTTTTTTTATTTATAATATTGTATGTGTATTTTAATAATATTTGTTGACAGAATGGAGGAAGCTACGTGCTTGCAGTGGACGGAGGAAGAGAAAGGATATTATCAGTGTGGCAGTGGCAATGGGGCCATCTTCTTGGCAAAGTTGCGGTAAGAATAATCGATTAAATCTATTGTCACTGGAATTACTGGAATTATTTAAATATATTCACACTCATAGATCGAGCAACACTCGAAACGAAACACCTTGTTGGCTATTAAATAATTTCGGTACTTCTTCACTAGCAGGCCGGCACTGACTGCTATCTGCCAATATTTATAACCTGAACACTGATAATTCTGATAAGGTACTGATAAGGCTTCCTATAATTCCTGTATTCATATTTATTGTATTATATTCATATTATTGAAATTGTAAACAAAAACAAATGTAATAATAAAAAATACTTATATTTGACAACATATATATTAAATAGACGAAAACAAATGTAATAATAACAAAACAGTTTGGTTAATAACATAACAATTAATTAATAACATTAATTAAAAATTAAAAACAACAATTAATAACATTTGACGAAAATAACAGAAATGCAACAAAAATAAACAATGGATTAACTCAAAGCTTTGACGAGATAAGAAGGGAGGTTATGTGATGTAACATTATATAACAAGGAAGGTTTCGTTCAGGCCTCCTAATGGACAAGTACCATAATTTCTTTAAAACATTTATGTGCTAGTAATGGTAGATGAAGGACTTGTTTTTTTTTTATGTTTCTTGGAATTTACGATTGCGAGTGTGAGAAAAAAAAATTAATGGCGTAGCTCAGTGGTAGAGCACTGATCTTCCAATGTCTAAAGTTCGAATCCCGGCTCATGACAGCAATATTATTCTGTTTCATCAGCTGTGGGGCGACCCTGGGGTCAGGAGATCTTCCTATGGCACACCCAATCTGTATAAGTGGGTAACCTTAATGAAATAATTGTTTTAGGGGGGAAACCTGGCGGTTGAGTGTGATCTCAGTCACAACACCTCCTTGCACAACCGTTGAATAAGAAACAGTACTTTCCCTAAATTAAACGCAAAACCCTTCATGGGTCGTAGTGGTACAGGTTAAAGTTAAAGTGTGTGAGAATAACACTTGAAGATGAATGAGTGCCTAATGTATGAGGAAATAGATATGTCCAAATTCGTAAGAGTATCAAGAACTCTCTTAGCTGACCATTATGGAAGAATAGATCTGAACAATATACTATCCCTAACAGCTTGTATAGTACCACAGTTCACTGGCGGATCTACTGGGGCGTTTTCGGGCTGAAGCCTCCTTCCCCCAAAATGGCAAAATGTAACACTTTTTTATGGAAAAAATATTTTAAAAATATCTCTTAAAGTATTAAGAGTACAAGTATTGTACCTCTGGACAAATGCCCGGGTCCCTCTGCTCTGAGGTCGGAACTGCTTACCATGGAACTAGACGAAGCAAATGAGAGAGTGGTGAGTGGAATATAACATTAAACGGTCTTCAAAACAATTGAAACCTCCAGGACACTGCAAAATGAGCTTCACTGAAAAAAAGCTACAATGCCGACGAATTCCAGATAACGAGAAACAGGATCGATTTCATTAAGTGGAAAATTTAACACCAGGCGAAAAAAGAACTAGTTTCATATTTTCAAATCAATGAATCTTCGAAATCGCAAGCTCAGAAACGAAGTGATCTACACATCAGCAGGTTACGTAGAACTTACCAAGCATTCGTAAATCAAACCTTGTCCATATGAAATTGAATAAGTTAAAAACGAATCTTTCGAAAGTTAAAGAATCGGAGGCAGTGGAGACTTTATAAATAATGGTTTTATTCATAATGTCATTTACAAATGGCATCTAACATACAGAGTAATATACTTTGGATATATGGTTTGACTACACGAGTTCACCCCAGGTCTCAGTGAAGAGTGTGACTTGAAGAATGTAACTGCATGAGTGATTAGTCCAGAGGAGCATGGGGTTTATATACCCAAGAATAGCAAGGGGGTGAAGGGAAGTCGGAAGAGGACGGCAAAGGAAGTTATCGGTAGTTAATATTCTTAAGATGAGGTCTGTGAGAAAGTCCCCTTTTGCTGAAATCTGTTATTGTTCCCTAAGTCTTGATAAGTGTCTTCTGTCCAGTCAGTACATTCTAGATAACTATTTCTAAGCTATCAGAGATAGCTTGACCTGGCTGTCTAGGGATGCTTTGTTCTTTTATCCTTTGAGTCATGAGAAACGACAACATGATTCACCAATTGGGATATTTAACAAAATAAAAGTTAAATTAATATTATTATTATTTGTTACGGATCAAGTCCATTCCGTAACTGTAGACTAATCCAAAATGGAAATTTGGAATATCGTTTATCTACATTTTGGAAACTGACTGTTCCTGTTATGCTTTAATCATTATTAAGTTATGGGTGTTACCACAATACATTCGATTGCTTTTACCTAACTAATACCTATTTTTCAAAGTAACTGAAAAGCTATAAGTGTGAAGTAATGGCTCTAAAAGATTATTTAGCAGAAAAACGATTAAAAAAGTTACCATACATACTTACATTATATCTGTGTCTTAGACCTGCAAAAAAATTAAAGCAAAAATATAATGCTCATAGAACAAAAATTACGCATTTTTTTCTTATCTTAAAAATGTTTATATTTTGATCTGATAGGCTTTTGCAGTGTGGCTGTTGATGTGTAGAGACAAATATAGAAATATTTTCTAATTAAAAATAAATTTATTGTACTTAATTTAACTTTAACTATGTTATTAAGCTATCATTGTTCAATGTATTTCACAATAACTGTGTAACAACGCCGAAGACGTCAGAAGTTGATGACCCTTAAAGACACGGAAGATAGCAATCCCATCCAAACAGCCAATGCTACACGAATATTGATAATTGCTGAATTGAAGATGTTGCAGCAAGGTCGAATATAATTACCACGGTCGGAATTATACTGCGGAATATCTAGATGTGAGGGGGCAGATTTCCATAGCCAGGCATGCGAGATGTTCCAGAAAACGGGAATCCATCAAGGCAGATTACTTTTACCTTAACTTCTTTCCATAAACACTGTCACGTGATCCTCTGGGTCAAGGGACTGTCAAGAACCATTCATTCAAAACAATCGGCCATCTTATTCCCTCCTTCATCAATTTAGGCACGAAAGTATACTTTTCAAGTGTATTTTATTGTTTGGCATTTAACCTCTCACTATAGTCAACAGGCAATAGTCATTAATTTATCAAATGAGGATCCTGGAAACTAGAGTTGTCAAAAAACGGTCTTCGTCTTACATTCTTGGTCTTGTTCTTGTTTTTTCGAAAGACCAAAACCAAGATTGACCCTGCAAGATTTGAACTAGAGCAAGACTGACAAGCATTGATCAACCCTATAAAACAAAGAAATAAACAACAAATTAGCACAGATAGACCAATGGCTGAAAATTTGTTTTCGGACTCAGAGGGCTCTGAAACGTAAAAGTTCGTTGAAAAACGCATATCGAAAATTTTACCCAATTGCGGTACTTTCCTTACCTAGTCGCTACTAGTTCCCACCGCTGTAGGAAAGTAGATTTTTTTTTTTTTTAACGAAATTCACAACTGTATTACATGGAAAATGTAAAGTGACATTGGTAACATGACATATACAACATGAAGAGAAACTACCCATTGGTAGAACTCAAACTAAAGTTCTATAGTAGAAGGTCTCGAGGCCATCTTCTTTTCAGACACCTCGGAGGGTTATCAGGGATCGAGGAGAAAGCATGGTTTGAAACGAGAGGATTCGGATGGTTGTGTAGGTTGTTATGGAAGGATAGGTATCTGGATTGGGCCAAATCGGAAACATATGGAACATTAAGGCCTTTATGGATGATTTTATTTGTGACAAAGTAAGGAGCGTTGAGGATTTTACGAAGGATTTTGGATTGTAAGGATTGGATACGAGAGGAATTCGATGGTTTTAGTGGAGTCCCAAAGCTCAATTCCGTAAGTCCAAATAGGTCTTATTATTGCCATATATATGAGTCGTTTGTAATTGATTGAAAGCTTAGAGCGTTTGTCTAGTAAGTGCTGCAGTAGTCGAAAACGTCGGACGGTTTCTAGTCGTTTCAGTCTGGTATGGGGGTTCCGAGTGAGTCGTTTGTCAAGATGGAGTCCTAAGTATCGGATTTGTTCGACAGGAATAAGAGGGCTATTGTTGAAGGATACTGTAGGACAGGAAGTCATAGGATTACGACGAAGAGTGAAGGTAATTTGATGGGATTTATTGGAATTTATTTTAATCCTCCAGTTTTGACACCATTTTTCAAGACTTGTGATGCGTGATTGAAGAGTTTGGGATGCAATAGATGGATCTTTATTAACTGATAGGATACACGTGTCATCGGTATATAAAAAGTAGATATAAACATGTTTTGTAAGGTTTATGACTTATATTTAGTAGATATCTTTTTTACTTTCATTCACTAGCGGATCCGAAATTTAATTTTGGGGGCTTCAGCCCGAAAGTCCTCCCCCTCCCCCGTAGATCCGCCTGTGCTTTCATTTACCTATATATAGTAAGGGAAACTACTGTGATCATGAAATTTTTCCGAATCCGAGTTTTAACGGAAAGATACGTTTTGAGGTCCTCTGAGTCAAAATAACTAAGTCTCTCAAAATGATATGTGTATGTGTCTAGACACACACTCTAGAGTCTATCTCAATAACGGATTTCTATTTTTAAGGTTTGTCTATGTCCGGGATGTTATAACATCATTTTCACTAAAATTGACCAACCGGTATTCCCATTTTAGATCATCGATTTTACACATTTTTAAATTTTGATTAAATTCATTATATCAGTGTAAAATTATGCTGGTTTTAATATAATGTAAGTTTTATTCTCATTGATGTTATCTAACTGGGCTTAAATGCTTAATCTTCAAAATTTATTCCTCTGAAGTATCTTTAATTTTTTAAAATTAAAATGTACAGTCGTAAAAGGAAATGGTTCATAGTGAAAAATCATAAACGTAACGGTAATTAATTGTTTTAAATAATGTTTAGTTCCCTCTGAAAATTTTACTTTCAGCTCCCTTTCTCTAAATATACCTGCTACTCCTAAAAAAAAGTTGGTAAGTGAAAGTTTTGTGATGTGTGCACCGCACCGCATATACAGAGGGGCCCAATTTTAATGTGTGCTCTAGACGCCATTTTCAATAGCTACGCCACTGAGACCAAGTGGTTTTAAGGTTTCACACATCCCCTACTGGACCATTCGGAAATGATTCATAGGGTTGAAAATGTGTATTGATATTTGTAAGTGAAATGGGTTGGTCTTAATTTTCTAAAATAAATTTATAAAGATAAATAAAATTCTAAAATACGTTATAAACACAAAATATGAGAAAGAAACTCAGCAATTTAATTGATTTTAAAATTCTCTTCAGGTCCCTCAGATTAATATTAATGAAACAATTAAGTTGATTTTTCATCTCTTTTTCATATAAATATTGAACATTAGTGATTCATTATTTTATTCTGTTCATATTTAAGTATTTATTTTTGTTTAACTTCAGTTAATTATTTACTATAATGTATATGATTTGTATAAGTGACATTCAGTATTCATTCTGTTTATATTTTTAAAAATGAAAATATTTTTAAATTCTATTATTTTTTACTTTTTCAGACTCTTCAAGAAGATTTAACTGGAGCATCCTTCCATCCTCTTGATGACAATCTACTGATCACTCATGGTAAAGGGCATCTCACATTTTGGACCAGAAGAAAAGATGGTTATTTTGAAAAAACTGATATCATCAAACCAGTAAGTTTATAATGGAATGTGACCATAGTCAATAAATAACCTGGAATAATTATTATCATTATGTGACGTTGTTAGTTTTGTTTTTTTGTTTATAATCACGCTGCTAATGCATTACAATGGAATAGCTATTCATCAAAATATGATTTAACATCCAGTTAGTAATACAATCATTTTCACTCAATGCTCCCTCATAGGAAATTAGGAATGAAATTTTATAATGATTATTAATTATTTTTTGATATATTTTTGAGCAAAGCCTAATTTGTTCATAGCCATCCAGAACGCATATTACTTGCCTCCAGTTTGAGCAAGATGGCGATGTAGTGACTGCAGATGGAGATGGCTTTATAACAATATATTCAGTTGATAGTGAAGGAGCTTACTTTGTTAGAATGGAATTTGAGGTAAAAATAATTTAAAATATTTAATTTTAGTGAGCAAAAGTTTCTTCGTTCAATGTTAAGTACTCAATCATAAAATAATAAGAATAAGACTAGCTTTATGTATAATAAATTTACATATACACAGTGGAACTGAGAACAGAAATGTCATTGGTTTTTTAATAACCTTCTGAGAAGAGTCTACTAAAGCCAAATTTTAGAGAAAAAAAAAAATTATAGTTATAAACTCAAACATTTGGAAAAAAAACATAATGAGGTGGCATAAAACAAATTTAAATAGTAACTCGATATATAAATTTAACATGGTTGCAATAACTAACAAGTTTATTCCAATTTTTACTATTCAAATAATTTGTAAACTAATCTATTTTTTTATTAAAATATTTTGTTAACCAGAACTGGGTCCAAATCAATAAAATGAAAAATATCTTCTTCGACTTTGAGGTTACCCACAGAGCAAAATTTATTCTGATTAGGAAACCTATATTTATTCAAATATACTCGTAACAGTTCACCTCTACACTACATCCTCTCACTAACCCGTGGTGTTCCTCAGGGATCTTTGCTCTCCCTAACTCTTTTCTCCGTCTACTCCATCCATCATTCACAATATCACTTATATACTGACGATCTCCAAATCTACCTTTCCTTTCATCCTACCAAGATGCTTTAGACAATCCAAAGGCTTCAAGAAGACATTGATTGTATCAATACTTGGGCAGTGAGCAACAATTTAAAGTTGAATGTTGAGAAGACCAAAGCCATTCTCATTGGTTCCAAGCATCTAATTAATTCCACTCCTTATATCCCCTACTCTACATCAATGGTCTACCTATCCGTTTCCACACTTCTGTTAGAAACCTTGGTGTAATGATTGATCAGAATCTGTCCTGGTATAATCATATTTCCCAAATAATCCAAAAATCCATTACTACCCTCAAACAGCTCCTAAGATTCCATGATTCCATGCCTCTTAAAATCCGTCAGCTCCTAGTTTCCTCATTCATTTTCCCTCATTTTGATTTTGGCTGCGTTGTATACGGTGGACTGTCTGGTGGGCTTGAGATCAGATTAAAAAGACTAATGAATTGTTTCATTAGATTCATTTTTGGAGTCCCCAGGCGCTCCCACGTCTCCAGTTGGTATGCCAAATTGAAGTGGCTCTATCCAGTCTTCCAACAGCAATACTTCCAAGCTGTATTCCTTTTTCGAACCTTTTCAACCAAATAACCCTCTTACATTCTTGATTTTTTTACTCTCTGTTCCTCTGTCAATTCGTTCAACATGATATCCCAGCCCTCAAACCTGTTTAATCCTTCTCATAGAACTGTTCCTTTAAAAAATCCTTTGCCATGCGTGCTACCTTGTTTTGGAATTCCTTACCAGCCTCCATACGCAAATCATCATCCTTGAGCTCATTTAAACATAATTTATTTATCCATCTCCTCAGTAATCAAACTTCCATATATGTGTAAAATAATGTTCACGTTTATCTGTCAGTCGCTTTAATTTTATCTGAAAGATCATATCACCCACATTGTTTATGTGTACAAATATGTGAACTCGCACATCTGAATTTATCTATGATTTCATACATCTAACAGTGCCTTTTCTTTATTGTAATCTTAGATCTAGACAATCATCTAATTTAATTTATTCCTAATGCCAGATAATTGTCATTAAATTGTACATTGTAGTTATTATAAGAGGACTTAGTCCCAGAATAAAATTTATTTTTCTTCTTCTTCTACCTTTGAATATACAACTGATTGTGGTAGAGAATTTATTATCACAAAGCAGGCCTGGTTAAGGCTTTAGCTATTTATACAATATATGGTATTTGCTATTTGCTGCTTCTAATTTATATTGGTTCATTAGAGTTATATTAATGAAATAAATAATCATAGCTCATAATATCATAAATCTATGTGACGATTTTATTTGAAGGAGAACTTTTATCTATAACCTTTCAGGATAATGTTATTTAGCTGATCTGTTGTTTTATATAGATAATTCATGCTAATTTGTTGACAATTTTATATTGAAAGAAATTTTTCTTAAAACATAAAAATACTTTTTTTTTTTTAATTTCATAGGCCCATAACAAAGGAATCAGCAGCCTGATGATGCTTTCTGAAGGAACTCTCTTATCTGGAGGAGAAAAAGATAGGAAGATCATCGCATGGGATTCATTGCAAAACTACAAAAAAATAACGGAATCAAAGGTATTTTCTAATCTGCATCTAGTATTTTTATTAAATTTTTGTTTTTTAAAGACTAATACGTCTTGGATGGAACACCCTTTTAAAATACAGAAATGAGTAGTAAATATTCTTTCTTGAATGGCAATTTATTCCATAGGCCAATACAAAATAGTTCTTGACCATTGAATTATTTTTAAAAAATATACCATTTATTCTTTTTACAATATATTTACAGCTATGCATCACATCAAGCAAATATATTGATGTTTTTTAATATTCATGAATTAAATGAGAACTCTTAAAAGTTATGCATGTTTTCAAATTAAATAATTGTATTTTGTCTTATAAAAAATTAATTATATTTTCATGTTTTAATTATAAATTGAACAGTTATCAGAAAATGCTGGAGGTGTGAGATCAATTTACCCTCAAAGACCAGGCAGGAACGATGGTAACATTTATGTAGGAACAACAAAAAATAACATATTAGAAGGATCAATGCAGAGAAGATTTAACCAGGTATTATTATTTAATATTGAACATTTGTTTACAAAGTTAACTGCCGAGAATTGAAATATAATAAAAATTTACAGTAACTATAAATAAAAGTAAGAAGTTTTATGAACCCCAGGTCTTACCTGGAGCAGGAAAAGTTGAGTATTTAGCTGTCCAATAGATTGTGCTATGTATCGAGGATGGTGATGTGGGTATTATAATATGTTTCATTTAAAACAATTATTTAGAGTCGGTTAATTTGGGAAAATTATATATTACCAGAGGCAATCAAAAATGGCTCCCAGGGCACGCATCTCAGTTGCAGTCCATTGTAAATTATCTTTATTTAAAAAACAGATACACTAAATAAAACAGTCATAAATCTAACAAAACACATTTATTTTCTGTTTTGTTTTGTGAAGTATGGAAAACGATATTCAATCAAAAAATCATCTCAATCAGTCAAAAAGCTATTTCAAAATATTTATCTTTTTGAAGTTATGCTTTTTCGGCCTCATTTGTTGACATAAGAACTTCTAAGGGATATCATTTTGTAGGGTATTGTGTGTATATACACCATTTTATAGGGTTTTTACTAAGTACAGAAATCGTGAGATTATTTGAATGTAGGTTATATTATTGGTTTAGTTGGATTTTTAAGTTTAATACTTTGGCACCATTGAACAGTGACCAGGCACCTGTCATATGTACTTGCACCACTCTTGGTACACCACTGCATATTACTAATACCAAGGATGCAGAATTTGGATGTAAGGTACTATGAGGTAGAATCTCTCAGACTTTATCTAGAATTAGCCAGGCACTCAAATATAGTTTCTTGCTGACAATCCGCTTATAAAATCATTATGATAAACATGGTCTATTTTATAAGTTCGAAAGAGCCAGGACTAAATGTGGAAATTTACATAAAAACTAGAAGGCAGCCATGATCTGAAGAAATATATATATATATATATATATATATATATATATATATATATATATATATATATATATATATATATATATATATATGTATATATAAAGCCATAAGGAAGTGGGAAGATTTTTTTTATGAAAATACATTGTTAGGTTATGTTTCCATTGAAAAGTAAACAACCAGTTTCTTAACCATATTATTTTTATTTCACACGATAATTATTTTAAAGACAACAAATTATTTTTGAGGTTGAGTTGAGACAATTACTCACACATTCCTCACTTATATAATATAAAAGCATATTAATACATTATTTTTATATACATTTATGGATTTCCATTCAGTTTTGTCGAGGTCTACTCTTGGTGCACTTTTTAATTTTCACTATTTAATTTGCATTCACCCTTTCCCGCAGTGAATCTTCCTCCAATTGTTGTTGAATGTATTGCTATATTCAACTTCTAGAAATGTCTTCTCTTAATTCTTCTATTTTCCTGTACTCGTCTAGACACTCACTACTTGCTTGTCACTCTCTGCTTGTCTTGATCCTCTTTCTTTGCCGGTTGGTTCGCTTCTGTCCTTAACACATGGCGCTTGCTTCCCCTTCCATCTGTCTTTCTCTGCCTCTTTTTCCATTTTTTACAGTAGTTCACTGCTTTCGTGCCATTTAAAATTCTATTGACATATTAAATTCACTATGTAATATTTACATTACAACATTTTCGAAAAAACAATTAGTCCAGTGGAGGATCGAGAGATTAGAGGAGTTGAAGGTATTTGTAGGAGATGACTGGAGGAGCAGTTAAATAAGAGGAGCTCTGGTAGTGTTGAAAGTAGATTCTGGAGAACAGGAAGGAAGTTATTGTCTTATAAAGTGAGAGCAACAGATATAAGTCGAGATTTCTTCAATTAGTCATTCCTTTTAATTTTAATTATACTATTCCTTTAGGAACTACTCATGTAAATATCTGTGTTAGCAATTCATTAAATTGTAAAGTAATTAATCTTGCTCCACCTCATCATCCTCAATTTCATACTTAAAAATGTATTTGTAGTTTCTTGATTGCATAAATATAATATAAATATCATTTTATCCTGAATTAGAACTTGATTTTTAGTCCATTAGTTGCATGCCACCATATAGGTTATATTAATAAATGTTAGATTGGTAACATTAAACCTTATGAAAGAACATCTTTCTAACTATAATTCAATCTAGTATACCACAGCAGGGGGTCAGTTATATCTATCCACTTTTAATCATTTTGGATAAATCTTATATTTTCAATAGATTGATCCTCTTTTTGAACAGATAGAAATTAAAATAAATCATTCCCAGATATATCACTACACTAAGGTTTGAAATCAGTTTTGTGCCTAATATATATTCTAGTCATGCTCAAATACCATGAACGGGATACATTGGATTCAGAATTTATGAGGAGTTAGAGAATTGTACTCTCTGTTATTATTTTTCTTTCAAAAATAAAAAAAATCGACATAAATATTTCGATAGGCTTCACTGTTCAAGATGGAAAGAATTTGATGCGAACACCATGACCCAGTAAGTGCCTTCGGAACTATCAAGCCCTACATTTTAAAACCCAAAAATTTACCATTTTTGAAATTATACAAGGCAAAGAGTTCGCAGCCATACAACCTCGCGTTAATTGTAGCGCTGCCATGGGATATATATCTCATAATCCAGAGAGGAAGGGTTTATATTATTTATCATAGGTGTTTTTTTTTGTTCCTACACCATATCTTCGTTAACCCTCCATCAAATCCCAAGATTGAGCCATCATTTTGAAGATTTCCTTCTGGTATAAAAAATAGTCACATACCCTAAAAATTTCAGGAAAAAGTTATGAAGAAAAAAAAAATGTATTAAGCTAACCTTACATTATTAGCCAACATACTGCTTATTTTAATTTTTAAACATAAATGAAGTTTTTAATTAATTTTAATTTCATTGGTCGATTATACTTACTGATAAAATAACAACTGATTTCTCCATTTATGATATGTTGCATTATTTTATTTTATTATCATTTTTTCATTGACTAATATACTGTGCAAATTATTCACATGGGCCAACTAATACATAACAAATAGCACATTAAATTGAATGATTTGTATTGGGAGATGGAATTGTTGATCAAATTAAAATTTAATCAACAAGTCCATCTATCTCCCAATACTAATCAATTATTTTTTTTTTTAATTTATACATGTTCCTTATAGATAAAAAATTATCTTATTAACCAAAAAAAAAAATTAAAATCTACAAATGTATCTTCCATCTTTAAAAAAATCCTTTATTATGTTTCACCTCTCAAATATGGGTATAATTGAAATATTATTGCTAAGATTTTTTTTATTTTGAATTGAGATATATAATATTTTCAGGTTGTATTTGGCCATGGAAGGCAGCTATGGGGCCTTGCAGTTCATCCTGATGATGAACTGTTTGCTACCGCTGGCCACGATAAACACATTGCTTTATGGAAAAAGCATAAACTTCTCTGGACAGTACTGGTCAGTTTATTTTGTCTAGAAATACTTACATACTATTATTAACTATACAGATTAAATTAAAGATTATGTTTTAAACAGTAAAGAGTTTAAATAACTTTTAGGAATAGAATTATTTCAGTTTACTTTTTATAGAAAGTGTCGTAGCTCATTGGTTATTTTCTGCTATTATGTGTCATTTTTTTAAGAAAGTGGGAAGCAGCATTCTATTTATTTTAATGAAAGATTATTAATTGAACATGACATTATTTTATTAGACTAATTACACATTTTTATTATTTCAAAAGCTTTATTTTTATTTTAAAGATAGGTATTATGCTTCGAGATATAGACACAATTTTAAGATGAACATTTAACACATTCTAATCATATGACCAAAACACCAATAAAAAGCAAGTTCTTATAAGTTTGTTAAATTATTATTATTTTTTTTTTTTTTTATGTGTTATCATATATTTTGAGATTGTAACAGGTGTGAAAGTTTAGATGAACTTCATTTCTCAAAATGTAAAATCAACTATTTCGAAATATTTCTGCGTTATAGGATAGCAGTATTATTATATTTATAAGTTTTTCTTAATCTTAGTATATATTATGCCCTTTATATCATGCATAAGTTGTCATCAAATTAAATTATTTGTAATGATTTGAAATTTACAGAGCCCTCATGAATGTGTATCACTCAGTTTCCATCCGTTTGGAGCAGCGCTGGCAGCTGGCTCTACAGATGGTCACCTGATAGTACTCAATGCTGAAGCAGGCAACACCGTGGCAACTGTGCGGGTGTGTGGATCAGCTCTCAGCTGTCTCTCTTACAATCCAGGTACTAAGAGTTTTTGTATCAATATTAAAAAAAAAAGTAATTAATCCACCTATCAAGACATGTATTTTAGTGTAAATAGATAATTTAGAGAAAGCCTATTTGGGTTTTCCTCACTCTATCACAGAGGAGATCTACTATTGACAATTAGACAGATTATGTGATTTATAAATATAATTCGGATTTATATATTAATGGATATATAATTCGAGGAAAGTGCTTTTGATGTCATTCCATGCTTCCAATACCTGGGAGCTACAATAACAGAAAAGATGGTAGAAGAAATTGAAATAAGATGCAGCCAACAGGGCATACTTCTCCATATCTAAAATTATTAGAAGCAGGCCAATCAGAAAATAAGGCTGAACAAATGTCTCATAAGGCCAATAGCAACTTACTCATGCGAAACATATATGCTGAACAAATCAGTTGCACAAAATCTTGATCGCTTCGAGAGGAAAATCCTGAGACACATCTTTGGACCAGTCAAAGAAACCGAAGCTTGGCGTCTGCGCAAAAATGCGTAGTTATTCGTTGAATACTTGAGTCCAACTTCGCTAGGTTGTACAGAATAAAATGGATTGGCTCTCTAAAAGCATATAGAAACATATCAGGTGGGACAAGAACCAGGGGAAACCCAGATCACGCTGGCAGGATGGTGTCCTCACAGACTTAAGACATGCAGGAATGAGTATATCACATGCTGCACATAGGATTGTTTGGGGCAAAGTGACCGAGCAGGCCAAGGATCGCTTCATGCAGCTGCCACGCCATTTAAGAAGAAGAAAGATGTTATATATTAAGGTTAAACATCCTATCTTAATGAACCAAAGTGCTATTTTGCAATGTGACAATGGTAGATTTGTGAATTAAATTATTATATAATGTAAATATTCACTTTTTGAAACTCAGACAAAACTTTTATAATAATCCAATAAAACCTAGCACATTAAATGATATACAATAAATCAGTGACAGGTATTTTATACTAATGTTTCAAAATTAAATTTTGAACTTCTTTATATTGTGTTAGTCTTTATAATCATCCCTTTAAAATTACAGCTGGAGATATGCTAGCCATTGGATCACAAAATGGTAGTGTCTACTTGTTCAGAGTTTCCAGAGATGGCTATAACTACAAGAAGATTAACAAAATACGAGGAGCTCAGCCACTAAGTCAATTAGATTGGAGTACAGATGGCAACTATATTCAGACAGTCACTGCAGAATATGATCTAGTGTTCTGTAAGTTAATAATGGATTAATGTAAATAGTTTAGAATTCAGTTATTATAATTATTTTACAACTTTTAATACGAGATTAAATTCACCTCTAAAAATTAAAAAAGAAAAAGGATATATATATATATATATATATATATATATATATATTTACTTTAACATGCTGGAAAAATACTTGCTCTTAAGCTGTTATAAACCTTTAAGTTCTAGAATCTATCTCAAAAATACCTCACCAGCCTCATATGAGCCGTTCACAAGCGAAATCGATTATTTTGACTTTTTTAAATTTCAGTGGCATAGCATTCAATATTGAGTCCTCACTTTCAATATTCATACTAAATTTTCATACTGAATATTGAAACAAATATTTTAATAAAAAAAAAAAAATTACTACAGAAATCGGTAATTCCTATTCATCCTGAGGGAATATATTTGCAGATCTACTTAAACACATCTTGGTAGATAAACAAATTATATGATAACAGAAGGGCTCTTCTCCTCTTGATATGTTACTAATTATCACATGAAAGTTAATTTATTAAATTAACATTTTTACTATAGTTTAATTTACTTTGAAATAAAATTCTAAATTTAAACATAGTACTTAAGTTAATAATGTATTATTTATTATATCTTGTATATTTGGATTTTAGGGGATGTAAAAGCTTTAACAAATGAAAAAAGCCCTATCACTATGAAGGATGTCAAGTGGTACACTCAAAATTGCTCTGTTGGATTTTTGGTAGCAGGTATGTGTTATTTTTTAACCATTAAATTTTATATTATAACAAAAGCTGTTTATTTCTGTTTCAAAGAATACCATTTATCAACACAATGTAAATATTTTTCTTTTATTCTTTCATAACAATTTTACAGATCATGTATATTGGTGGAATTATATTACTGGTGTTTAACATTAATCTTATTTAGATCCTATAAAGTTTAATTTATTTGATTTTACTCAAGAATATATGTTATATAGTTTTATAACATGGTTTTCTTTTGATAATTTCTATCATTTTTTAATTTACAGGTTTGATAATTAAATAACACGTAACTATATTTATATGTGATTAGAAAATTAATTCACTAATATTAACTAATTGTTGAAGAAAAGTTGGTTGGGATTTTATGGTTGGTTTCGGAGTTATGATTTTTTTTTTTTGGCATTACAGAACATGTAGATCTTTTGCAGCCTTAACAAGCCTGGTTCATCTCTGCCTGTCTTGGGCTATTTGTTTCCATTTACGTGCATGGGGTTATGATATATAAATAAATATTGTCAATACTAATGAATATGAAAATCGCCACTCTAATACCATTATCAATTCAGCACAAACAACGAGGATGTTTTTATTTACATGCTAATATGTGCTTTTATGAACGTTTGAAGATTTTGTATTCACCCTTTAAAAATATTTAATTACAATCACAATTGCCAGAGGGTAGGATTGAAAATTTTTCATACTTGATAGTTTGCATTTGTATCCAAGATATGATATATTTAAAATATATTTGTCATTCCACATATTCATTAATGTTAAGTTAAACTGCTTACATATTATTTAATTGTACTATTTTACTTACTTATTATTATTATTTCTGTCTACTATTTTCTCAATATTTATATGTTATCTTGTCTTTGCTTATCTCTGATGAAGGCCTGAAACAAAGACCGAAACATCGGCACATAGAAAATTAAAATAAATATTATATATTTATTTTTACTTTGTTCTTGCAATTATTACAAACCAACTTCTCTTCAATAATATCTTCTAACAACCAACTATTATCCACCATCATAATATTAACTATATTATACTATTAACCTATCCCTGTTAATCAGTCATTATCTCATTCAGAATTATCATCACAACTGCAAGGCTTAACCATTTTAACAATTTAACAATTATTCTACAGGTGTATGGAACAACAGGTATTATCCGCAGACTTCAGTTATCTCAACGGTCAGCCGATCAGCAGCTCATGACCTTCTTGTGGTCGGAGACACTGAAGGATACCTCAGGCTTTTCAGGTAATTAACAATTTACGACTATAAGTATAAGATATGTCCAGAAAGTTAATATAAAATTATATTTAATCATGTAACTTAATATTGCCACCTTCTAAATACTCCACCTGTGGCACAATCCACTTGTGCCATCTTTGTTCCTCAACTTGAAGGCTCCTTATAATTCCTCTGTTTCGATGTTCTTCAGAGTATCATTGTTTGTGTTCTGAAGGCCTCCACTTTCTCAAGAATCAAAGAAGATGAATCTTAGTTCTATGGCTTTGTTCTTGAATCTACTAACATTAATCCCAATGCTGGGAATGGAAACAAGATGGGAAGCCCAAAGACGAAAAAGGCAAAAAAATGGAGACAATACTGAATTTCTTTTTTTTTTTTTATTCTTGGGGCATTATTCACAAAGAATTGGTAACTTTAGTCGTTTTTCACAACCCTTTATGGCTCTATAGAGCAGTGGTTCTCAAATATTTCGGCTTGTGTTTTATACATTATTTTCACTTTCACTTACCTATATATGTAATATATAGTAAGAATAAGTATTGAGATTGTGAACATTTTTGAATCTGAGTTTTCAACGGAAATACCGTGATCCCCTGAGTCCAAATAACCAAGTTCTGCTAAATGGTCTGTGTGTATGTGAACAGTCTAGCTCAAAAACGAAAAGTCGTACGAAACTGATATTACGTATTTAAGATAGGTATATCAAGGTGAAACACATTTTTACAATTTTCTCAAAAACGACTCTAACGATTTTGATTAAACTCGGTGTATCACTGCATAATTAAGTGGTCTTTAATATCATTTAGGTTTTATTCCCATTGATTTCACTTTACAGGGCTTAAATTCCCAATGTTCATATACCTCTTCCTCTAAAGTACCTTTGATATGGTTTATTTTAAATAATTAACCATCCCTCATTATTAAGAGTTACGAAAAAATGCGAAATATAACTTTTGAAAGAATTTGATAATTGAATAAAAGAGAAAAAAATAAAAATACTTATCCAGGTCAAAAATGAATCTCAGGAATTACCAATTAGAAGGTATAAGTATAATATATCGTTGGAAAGCTGAGAATTTTAGAAAACATAATATCTAATATAGAAAGTTGTAGAAGGTAATAGAGAGTGGCAAAAAAAATTATATATAATAATTTCAGAAAACTAACATTATTTAACGTAAATCACATGTTTCCAAGGAAATTAAATGAAATTTTCTTACTATATTTAAACATAAATGTTTTCCTAAGTTTGAAAAAAAAAAGTATTTAAAATCCAATAAATCAAGCCAATGCCATTGTTTAAAATACTATTTCATTATACTTTTCTGAAAGAAGAAGTGAAATATAGAAATATTTCATGGATATGTTTATAACCTCAAATATATTAACTATAGAGTATTAACTCTAGATAAGATATTATATTTAAATAATTAGATATCTATTGCCCATTTATTCCAAAAAAATCATGAAGTAATCTTTTACAAAATTAAATTTGTGAATAATTTGATGAACTTTCCCTTTGTGAAATCCCAATATTATCCACTTACAATTAGTGTGACAACTTTTGAACTATCTATGGCAGGCAATGTAAATCTCATAATTTCGTTTTAGTAAACTTTTCAATGGAAAATAATTGTTTAATAACTAATAGTCCTACAATTCATAATCATTTATATGTTAAATATTCAGATATACTTTTAAACCTCTCTAGGAATATATGAGCCTTTCGGTTGACAGAATGACTAACTCCAATTTCAACATTCTTTATTATTAATTTTAGTGATGTTTCTAGTGATATTTCAACACTGCAATCACCTACTCTGGAATCAACTTACTCACTGTCTGTATAGATAACTTTTTCAACTAGAAATATCACTAAAATGACATTACTAAAAAATGTTGAAATTGGAGTTAGTTGACAGAATGCAACTGAAAGGCTCAGAGACCGAAGTTGTGTGGTCTATAAAAGCAGATGGAGTGACTTTTATTGCCTACCGTCGATATAATAAATAGAATTTTTGTAATTATAATGATCTTAATGATTTGTTCTCAATAAGCTTTAAGCTTTAACACTTATAATAGTCCAGCATTGCCAGAAAACAATTTCTATTCAAATTAGAGCGGTAAGTGAAAGTTGTGTGTTGTGGGCACCAGATTTCTTTTTTACAAGTGAGATAATAAACCATAGAAGTAAATAACATAAAAATTTAAAATACATATAATTATTATAAATACCAATATTAATTTTTATAATTATTTATTTTATTTTATTTAATACTTTTGTTTTAAATTAAATTAAATTACTTAATAGTTTTGCAGCACCCTAAGTAAAGTACTTGTCACTTTGCGGGAATCACTGCTCTAGAGGTTAGTTCTGAATCATGATAGAATTGTCAAGATTCATTTTGTGGAATTTTCACATAAGAAATTAAAACTGTGACCCGAATATGAATCAAATGTTCTTTACTTTCCTATGGGTACTTTAAGACTATTTTAATGTACAAACAAATTTTTTAAACCTCAATGAATTTACATTTTTTGGATTACCGTTTGCAAGAATCTTTATATACATATTTATTTATTACAATAGAGACCAACTATGGACCATACATATACCATTATTGCCAATTTTCTTTTCATTATTTCTCTGATCTCCCTCCTTCTCTCCTCTGTCCATTTCTAATCTTCTTATCCGCAACAAGAACCTTTTGTTTTTCACCATTTTCCCAAATTTATTCCTTTCTTGTAAACTTTCCTCTTTAATACCCATTTTTTCTACTTCTTCTTTTATTTTTTCTGGATATCATTTTATGTTCTTCATTCCCATCACTTTATCGAAAATATGTTAGATCAAACTATTCCGATCCATTCTCTTCATATATATATATATATATTTGTATTGCCATCGATGCTCCATATTTCTAATTATTTGTTTACTATAAAGACAAAGGTATAATCAAAATGTAGTTATTTATCAGCCAAAAACAGAAGAAATATATATTTTTTAAAATGAAATTTACTTACTACAGAAGATACATTGCATTTTATTTCAATATACTCTGTACCTAGTATTTTGTATTATTCATATTTGGCTAACAGAAAATAAATTGCATTAAAATCAATGATTATTGATATTAACAGATTAAAAAATTGCTTAATTATAATATTAACAAAATAAATTCTAAACATGATGACTAGCTAACAGTTTTTATTTCTATTTACCCACATATGAAATATATAGTTAGGAAAAGTATTTCGATCATGAAATATTTCAAATCTGAGTTTTCGACAAAAAAACAAGTTTTAAGGTCCCGTGAGTTTACAAATAACAAAGTCTTGGGAAAAGAGATGGGTGTGTTTATTTATTTGAACAATATAGTTTAAAAACAAAAGGATACATGACACTAAAATTATCAATTATCAAGTTTAAAAAAATCCTGAAATTTTATTGAAAAATTTAATATAATTGACTTACTTGAAGTACTACTTTATATCATTGATTTTAATATTTTTTATAATTTTCTTGTAACTGGTTATAATGATTTTGACTGAAATTCTCGATGTAAAATTAAATGATGTTTAATATCAGTTAGCTCTTATGCTCATTGAAATAGTCTATTAACTAAAAATGAATTTGATAATTAACTAAAGGAGAAAAATATTTGGAGGATGAAAACTTCTGAAAATATGAGTAGTAATTTAGGTGTATTAATATATCACTAGAAATCTAAATCTTTTTTTAAAAATGAATATCTACAGAAAGTGATGGAGACTGACGAAAAAATAATAACTTTTAATTGTTGTAGTTAAATTATTATAAATTAATTATGTCTATATTTTTATTATTGAATAGAAAATAAATGTTTCTGTAGTACATAAATGGAATTTTAATGGAGAACTAATTTTTTCTGTTGGATAAACCAAAAAAATATCGTGCACAGAGTTGTCATTTATATTTAAAGTATAATTCTTAAGATTTATATTAAGGTTTAAAAAAATTAATTCCTATTAGAAGTAGTATTGTAAGTAAAAGTTGTGAATAATGCATTCGATTATTTTTCTTAAATTAGATACTTAAAACAAGATTTAAATTTTAAATGCATTCATTATTATTATTATTATTATTATTATTATTATTATAAAAAATGAAAATTATTTTATAATAACTTACATAAAATACAAAATGATTAAGTGGCTATAATACACAAAAAAAAGAAAATCTTCATTGATTCTGAATAGCAATTTTTCTATCTGACACTTTTAAAGTTTACTTTGTTTTATTGGTTGAAATTTTTTACAAAACTTCATTTAGAAATAACATTAAAGTTAGGTGAAGAGAAATATAGACAAGCAATTAGATTCTTACCATTAAAATAAATTTTTATGTTTAGATTAAGCATATATTAAATCTATTTATATCTTTAGATTCTAGTTATCACTCATATTATATTAAGGAACTTTGAATATTTATCGTCAGTTGTATGAATATTACTTGTGTTATAAGTTCTTTGGATTACTTTGCAGAAGATAAGATAATTCCAGGAAGCTGTTGTGATTATTTTATCATAATCTATAAATTATATATATCTATTCCTTCAATGAAAATAGTAACCATCTAACAATATTGTTCTATATGTCAATGAAATCTTTGTTTATAGCAAATATTTGTAGAACCACATTTATAAACAAGATTTCTCTCTTAATTATTTGTTTATGTTATAAACATTTATAAACAGTTTATAAACCGCTGATTATTTCTGATCAATAATTTAATTTTGATAAACAAATTTATTTAAAAACTGAGGAACTACTTATAACAATGATTATATTTTTTAATATGGTTCAGAGAAGGCTTTCTTTTATTTAATAATAGTTTAATCTAGTTAAAATATTATTGATTTTGCTTCAAAATTATGGTTCAACAAATAAATACTCTAAAAGTTATCAAATCAGTAAGATTGAATAAAGGTGATAAGTGATTAGTCATCACTGCTTTCAATGATCAG